AACGGTGAATTGAATTATTCACAAAATAAAATCACAATTTAAAAATCACAGAAGCACTCTATAAACAACCTGATCATACTATACCTTGAGGTAGACTGACAATGAAACTAAAATAAAACAGGTCTACCCCATGCTATTCAAAACAAATATGGAATCCACACGATGCGGTATTTAATGTACAGTATTATTGGTTTGGTTATCCATTTAGTCCGAAATTCACGTTAGTATTTGTTAGGTCGAGGTGTTATGTACTCACGAAGGACATGAATGTATTTGCAATAAAATAATTATGAGTAGATGCAATTGTATTTAGTAAGTCTTGTGGTAGAAATAAACTTCAGTTTGCTTCTTAGTGTTTGCTGTCTACTGTAATTTTATTTAGTATTTTACAATACATTTTGTATACCTTATAAAATTGTAGTTTATATTCTTTTATGTTGTTTAAAATATAATCACAGGAATTATATGAAGAATAAAGAATTACAAATTATGTACTTTGATCTGCTGAATAGTTATAATTTGTATTCACTCGTGTAACGATAGTATACCTTTAGAAAATGTAAAAGGAAAAGTCAGTACACCCCGCAATTCTTATCATTTTCTTGTCCGTAATATTTCTCTGCATACTTGGGTAAAAGTGAATTAACATTTTTTTTCGACGCGAAATAAATATATAATAAAGCAACGGAAAGTACGAGAAAATTTCTGAGAGAAGTTCGACAATTTTATGATATACTTTAATGTAATATTTTCGACCTCTAGTCATATTAAAAGAGAAACAAAAGTTTTTATGACATATTGTACGCGTGTAAAGTTTCTTTACGATAGGAGCAGTCGTAAAAACTGGGGATAGCATCATTAATATTTAATGCAGCATTTGAAGACTGCTGGGTTTTTGTTCTTCTATGGAAAGCATGCGTGTTTATTTTACATTACATGGTGAGAAGAATGAGACGTTAGTTCTCATGGATATTAAGAAATCCTCGGGTTATAGAGGTACTAATTCCGTATTACATTTTTGTCGTTTATCATGTATTCCACATATCTATAAATCAATACAGTATAATTTTCCATTTATAAAATTTTGCTTTTTATATAATTATCTTTTTATCGTAGTATTGTTAGTTTTTGATATGAATAATCTTCTAAATTTACATATTAATTTGTAATGATTTTATGTACAAATTCGTTAATGTTATATAAAATGTTATTAGATTTTATGTGGGCGACTGAAGTACATCGCTTTGGTTTAGAAATGTTGGGCTTGTGGCCTAAAAATACTACGTTTTCTATAAAAAGATTCTGGTCACAACTTCATGCAGGCATTATTTTAATTTTATTAGTATTTGTTATTAACGTTCCGACAATATATACGGTGATGGAAGATTGGGGCGACATGGTACTTGTAATCGGCACTTTACGTATTGCTTTGCCTTTATTGACAGTAACAGTGAAATATACCGTCATGCGATGGAAACGAGCAGGTATGTCCCGAATTATTTACAATGTTTCACATTTTACTTTTTTACAATATCGAATGTATTAATCGGGACATTATAATTAATTTGTTATTACAAACATATTCTGAATACCATAGTATCACAAATCAGTCATTATTTATTATTTTTCCCGTATAATAATATAAATTGGGATAGAAAATAATATGTATCGAAATAAATAACAAAATGTACATAGCTTTTCTTTAGGTAGGCAGTATATTTATTTTAATAAATATTTTATGTGTTCATATAATGTTTATCTTTCTGTAATCCCTGTAAGCAGTTCAATATTTTGATATATTAACATATGACTTTACTTGTATTTTCAAGTTCTCTTATCGATTGTGAATATGATGGAGGAAGATTGGGTAGCATTGAAATCGGTTGCAGAAAGAGCTGTGATGATAAGACGAGCACGAACTGCTCGATTAATTATGATCATTGGATATGTTTTTTTTGGATCCGCACTTCTCATAACAACTGTTCCTACTTATTTTGACGTTCGAGTAGTTCATGTGACAAATTTCACGAAACAGACGAAATTACCCTTTGAGACGTATCAATTTTACAATATACATAAGAGCCCGCAGCTTGAGTTGACCTTATTTTTGCAAAACATAACGAGTTTCTTAGCAGCTGCCACTTACCTAACTATAGATTTTTTTTTATTATTAGTTATTTTCCATTTTTGTGGCCAGCTAGAGAATTTTAGAAATCGACTGATAAGTTTAGTCTCATGCCAAAGTTTCGGCAAAATTTTACATGACATCGTAGTATACCATTTACGTCTTATCAAGTAAGAACTTTTATTATAATAAAATTTGTACACACAAATTAATTTTAGCAATATTATCGAATAAAAAATTTGTTACGGGGGGAAAGTTTAAAAATTATATTTTTGCAAGTGACATTAATTGTGTTAGCTGCAAAATATACCACTTGACAGAAATATTAATTTTTGACACGTGTTCAAGTAAATAGCAGAAAATACATATATACTTATTTTTAACTTTTTCGTTAGTTTGCAAGTATTATGTGAACGCACACATTTTACTATATACAATTACATACAATTATATTCAAATTAAATACAATTTTATATATAATTATACCTATATCTTAATTTATGAGTGCTTCGCGAGGTTTTTTCGATTCAATTTTTGATAAGGAGTATCGCTATATTATAATTAGTCGATTGATTTTAAAAAGCACTTTATTGTATTTTAAATGGCGTCTTATTTTTATTGAATTGCCAGTCTGAACAAATAAGCGTGTACAGAGCTATAGGTCGGACTTGGTTGGCATAAAATATTTCATTTGTTAAATCTCTTAGCAATGATGAGTTAACCTAAAGCTCGCAGGTATATGTGTGACAGGTTCTTTCCGGCACGGAATACAATATGTATATGTTGTGCGTCGTTTTACTTCTCGCTACCAGATTATATTGATTAGGAAATTAAATAAGATATATTACATGCCTACCGAGTCCGACCTTCCGCTTGCTACGCGCTCATTTGCTTAGATATTTGAATCAATTTTTCGATAACTATTTCAAATTTTGCAAAATAGTACAAACTTTTTCTACTCTGTTTACTCCACTCTATGTACCTTTTGCAGGCGATTCAATAAAAATGTGACATTCTGTATGAACATATAATATATGCATACATATATTGTCTGTACATATGTATACATGTACGTATGCATATGAAAATATGTGTATTTAGTATTTATATTTAAACAGGTTTCTTAGTTTTAATTTGTTAATCTTTTAAATATTTCAATTTTTGCAGATTTGCTAACCATATCGAAAATACATACACTTTAATGATGTTAATAATTATATTTCACTTTGTCGTTGTATTTTGCTTCAGTGGTTTTATAATGACTATTGTAAGTAAAACACAAACAAAAATATTTTAATGCAAATAGATACCTTTTTCATTTTCTTGTAATTTATATATTTCAGATATTTAAGAAGGGAGAAATGAATAAGGATATTGTTATGGAAATATGTTTCGTGATATATATTCTTATTAGTTTATTGATGAATACATTCGTTTATTGTGGTGCAGGAGAAATGGTGGTGGAACAAGTAAGTTACATAATAAAATTTATAAATAAATAATATTAATTTAGTATGATTTAGCTTATGATAGAGGAAAAAAATATTTATATAGCAGTACACTTCCCAGGTAGAAATTTTGTCTGGAAACAATCAGGGCCCCATATATTTTTTGTAAAATATTTCTGGGATCCAGGTGGAAAATCTAGCTAGGGTCTATGTAAAGTTTGGGACGCCTAAATCGAACAGGCCCTATCGCTGAATCCAGATCGGTCCAAGATTACGCCCGGAATTTTTTTAGAAAAGTTATCTGGAATCTAGCTGGAGCCTATAATTTTCCTAGATATTACTTAGTTTGTACCATAATTATTTTTATGATCCAGTCTGGTCCAGGCTTCAATCTAAATTTTTTCTCTAAAATATTTCCTGGAATTCCACCCGAGCAGAAATTTTAGTAGGGTTCTGATAGGGTACTAATAAATAGTGATGACGATTATCCGTTTATCCGGGTATCCGGATATCCAAGATAGAGATAGATCCGAGATAAAATATTCGATTTAAGTGAAAATCCAGATATCCGGATC